TGACAAAATAGTTTGCGCTATATCTTTTGAACTAGAGTATCGTGTTTTCATTTTTTGTTGTTGTGAGGTTGTACACTATGCCGTGAGAAACATTTTTTGTACCTGGACACAAAACGGCTTGACCTTCATTTCTGGTGTTACCGGAAGTGCAATAAAATCCGAATATAACTCAAAAGCAGAAGCATTTTACTACACAGTTTAAGATACATCTTTGTAACAAAATAGTTGATTGTACTGGAAGAGATTTAATTTTGTGATCCTTTGTTCTATACACATATTCCTAACTTTTCTGGGCAGTGTATAATGAAAAGGCTGTCCGCCCGACCACTCTGCGTTTGTAACTCAACAAACGCGAATCTATAGTGTTTTCCATATTTTCAGACGTTATTTAACTTTTATGATGAACATTTATCCATTCCGAACTAAATCAGTGTTCGCTTCCCGTTTTTGAGTAATGTCGTCATCGAGCAAGAAATAATTTGTATGTGTACATAATTATAATGTTTACTGAATTTTATCACAAAATTATTGATTGTACTGGAAGGATTTAATTTCGTGATCCTTTGTTCTTACATAAAAATATTCATAAGTGAACACGGCAGTGTTTAATGAAAAACAATGCATTCCCGACCACTCTGCGTTTGTAACAACAAACGCGAACCTCTAGTTGAGTGGTCAGGCACAACTCGACCACTCTTTGGATTTGTTGCGATTAATCTTTCTTTCTTTCTTTCTTTTTTTTTTTTCCGTACAGCACGTTTCCGCAGGTTTTCTCCTAAATGGTATATGATATGAACTTGTAACTATAAGCATATATTGACCCTCATTTCGAGTAGTGCATATTACACTGACGTCATGATGACGATCGAGTGTCAAATTACAAGCGATTTTCGTTGAAAAAATGACGATCTTCTTTCATGTATAACTCCTCAACAAAATGATCAATTATGCTCCAACCTTGTAATCAGATAGACCATAAATTGATAAACATTTTTTGTTGTGTACGTTAACTCGCTTGACCTTTAACGGAAGGTCAAAGTTAGGTGAATTCAAAATGAAGACATTAGCCTGAAATCGAAACAAAGCACAATTTCTTCCGAACGGTTTACGGTATGATCATAAAACCTAGTGTGAACTTGTACCATGTTACAAAGATGTTATAAATGTTGTTACGTCATCATGACGTCATCGGGTATCGAATTAAAAGCGATTTGATTGCACGATTTGACAAAATAATTTGACCTATATCTCTTAAACTAAATAGAGTATCGTGTTTGTTTTTTCGAGTTTTTTTCTTATTCTCGGGCACAAAATTGCTTGACCTTTACTTCCGGTGTTACCGGAAGTGCAATAGAAACTGAATCTTAATCTAAAACGGAAGCATTTTACTACAGACAAATATATTATGGAAGTGTTAAGTCAGGAATGCCAATCACAAAAACATAATTTTGACGTCGTCCCACTAAAAGGCGCCCTCTAGCGGCACATCGAAAAATGTTTAATCTTTTAAAATGTTACAGCCCTAAATCAAATTTTTAATGATATATTGCCCCTATATATCCCCTTATGCAACCACAAATGAATTTGCAAGGTTTCATAATCATGACATCATCAGACCGGAAGTTACTGTAGGGAGAATTCAACAATGATAATTTTATTTTGAATTGAAATCCATCATTTGATCCCTGTCTCATGACTTTGTTTTTTGCCCACCCCCCCCAAAAAAAAGACATCTGTTACATTTAATATTGACCTTTTGCTTCCAAATACTGTGACGTCATCAAACTGGAAGTTATCTGTTATTATTACATACACTAAATTTCCATATTTCCATGCGTTATTTTTACTAAATAATAAACAAGTGTCCTCCCTTCCCTTTTTTGACTGATGACGCCATCAAACCGGAAATAACTTGTACGTGTACCTAACTGTTTACTGAAATTTATCATACCTTAAAAGATGCATTCTTTTTGTACAAAATAATTGGTACTGGAAAATGTTGAGGTTCTTGGTCCTTCTGACATAAACATATTCATAACTTAATTGGACAATCTCTAATAAAATGGTTGTCTACCCGACCACTCTGTGTTTGTAACAACAAACGCGAACCTCTAGTCTTTATTTGTTTTCCGTACGGCACGTTTCCGCGGGTTTTCTCCTAAACGGTATATGGTATGAACTTGTAACTTTCAACATATATCGGCCCTCATCCGAAGTGGTGCATATCACTCTGACGTCATGATGACGTCATCGGGTGTCAAATTACAAGCAATTTTCGTTGAAAAAATGATGATATTCTTTCACCTATAACTCTTGAACAAAAAGATCAATTGTTTTCCAACCTTGTAATCAGATAGACCATTAATAGATGAACATTTTTTGTCTGTACGTTAACTCGCTTGACCTTTACTTCCGGGTCTACCGGAAGGTCAAACATCAAACCGGAAGGTGGGTGTTATGAATACATACGTTATTTTACTTTACAATGAACATCTCTTTCCGTTTTTGAATAATGACGTCATCAACCAAGAAATAACTTGCATACATGTGTACAAAGAATGCTTACTGAAATTGATCACACCATAAAAAAAGGTATTTTTTTACTTGAAGATAAAAATAATTGATTTTACTGGAAATGATTTTATTTCGAAATCCTTTGTTCTTACATAAAAATATTTATAACTTAAAGGAAACATGCAGTGGAAATTCAGCTCATCTTGTTTTCATGCACATTACTATGTTTTGCAACAATACATACAAGATCTTAATACTTTTTTTCATTGGAAGTGACAAGAAAGTGGTAGTTTTTCAATTATTCGTAAATCCTTTCATCATTATATAAGAGGGCGCTATTTTGCTTTTGTCACACAAAGTACTCCTTGCCAAAGGTGCGTTATGAACAGTACAAAAATTAGTCTTTCAAAATTACCCACCAAAACCACTACGATTGTCTAAATAAGCTGTTTTACATGATAAACAATAAAAAGTGGAATTTACTCCAAAAAAATATAAAAAACTTTGACATATATTTGTATACACAAAGCTATGGAGACACTACGGTTCTGCCTTGACATCAATGACATCACGCTTTGGCTCATGAATATGGACATTTTCATTAGCATGAAAGCTTAAATGTTGAAATTTCTCTCTTTTACTGCTACAAAGGAGGTGGAAACTTCATAGTTACATGGCAAGAAAGCTGTTTTAAATGTATTTAAGTCATATAAATCCTATTACATGTTTCCGTTAACTGGACAGTGTTTCATAAAATAGTTGTCTACCCGACCACTCTGCGTTTGTAACAACAAATGCGAAACTCTAGTTGAGTGGTCGGGCACAACCCGACCACTCTATTATTGTTACGATTAATTGGAATTGTTCTCATAAATCTTCTTGATCTTTCCGTCTTTTTATTCCAGAGAATACTTCTCCGCGGGTTTTCTCCTAGACGGTTTATGATATGAACTTGTAACTTTCAATATATAGCGACCCTCATCCCAAGTGGTGCATATTACTCTGACGTCACGATGACGTTATTGGGTGTCAAATTACAAGCGATTTTAGAGGAACACGTGGCCAATTACTTTTACCTATAACTCTTAAACAAAACATTCAATTATGTTCCAACTTTGTAATCAGATAGACCATTAGTTGATAAACTTTTTTTGTCAGGTACGTGAACTCGCTTGACGTTTACTTCTGGGTCTACCGGAAGGTCAAAGTAACGTGAATTCAAAATAAAGACTTTAGCCTGAAATCAAAACAAAGCAAAATTTCATCCAAACGGTAAATGCTATGATAATTAAACCTAGTGTGAACTTGTACCATGTTACGAAGATGTTATAATCTTTGTAACGTCATCATGATGTCATTAAAATTTTGACAAAATAGTTTGCACTATATCATTTGAACTAAAAAGAGTATCGTGCTCGTTTTTTCTTGAGGTTGTAGACTATGCCATGCCAAACATTCCTTGTTCCTGTACACAAAACTGCTTGACCCTCACTTCTGGTGTTACTGGAAGTGCAATTAAAACCGTATATAATTTACAAGCGGAATCATTTGATTACAAACATGTAAATTATTTATAATATAAATTATCACTTAAGTGTTAAGTGAGGAAAATCAGACACAAAAAAAGAGTGTGATGACGTCATCATCCAAAAGGGCGACCCCTAGCGGCATATAAAATAGAGTTTGCTTTCTTTAATTTTAAAACCAGCCGTTCACATCCACATCGCCCCTTGATATTTTCTGGTAAACCACAGATAACTTGGCAAGGTTTCAAATTCATGACGTCATCAGACCGGAAGTTACTTTAAGGAGAATTTGAAAAGTATCATATTTTTAATCTAATTCTATCATTTGATCCCTGTCATATCTTCGTAGTCCAAATAACGATATCCAATATGTTTACCTTTGATCTCTAATGCTGTGACGTCATTAAACCGTATGAAAGGTGTTATTAATAGGTCATCAAACCGGAAGTTAGGTGTTATTAATACATACAATTATATTTCCCATATTTTCATACGTTATTTTAACTTTACAATGAAATTTTTTCCTCTCCGAGCTTTATTAGTATTCACTTACCGTTTTTGACTGATTACGTCATCAAACCAGAAATAACTTTTTTGCGCACAAAGAATGTTTACTGCAAATTATCACACCGTTAAAGATACATTCTTGTAACAAAATAATTGAGTGTACTGGAAAGGATTTAATTTCGTGATCCTTTGTTCTACATAAACAAATATAACTGGGCAGTGTATAATCATGGAGGAAGGAATAGAAAGAAAAGGCTGTCCGCGCGACTACTCGGCGTTTGTAACTCAACAAACGCGAAGCTCTAGTTTGGTTCTTTCTCTTTTTTTCTTTTTTTTCTGGACAATACTTCTCCGCGATTTTTCTCCTAGAGGGTGTATGTGTAACCGTGAAAAATGACACACTTGACTTGGGGATTCAACTCGACACAAATAATTTAATACAAGACCAGGATCTAAGAACAAGTCGCGAACTATTTTATTAAGAAAAGGATTTTAAAATGAAACAAACTTGAGACCAAACTTAACTATGAAAAACTGTTGACCAGAAACTTAAACGAAAAGAGCAAAACCTAAAACCTATAACTAAACTATAACCAACATAGAGCGTCAAAATAATGGACCTTAAATGCACTCTGACTGAAACCTAAAAATCAAGAAAAGACAAGAAAAGAAAGAATACAATTAAGAAATATATCAAAAGAAAGTTAAATTGGTTAAATAGTGCAGTCTAACTCTATTATGTACAGCATGTTACACAAGGTCACTAATGCCCAACATACACAATGGCAACACAAGTTTCTGGCTGAATATCTAATGAGTACTAATCCATGGCTCTTATCTGTTCCACATAACTTCTAATTAGACTTCTCCCAGTCTAAGACAATCAAACTAAGCCTCAAGGTTACAAACAGGTGGTAAAGTGGAGTTAAACATAAAGGAAAATGCAGTGAAGGAAGTGGGACTAAGACAAGTCTAATTTCATGAATAAACATCTGGTGATCTTCTAAGAAAGGAATTTATACACTTGGGTCTCTAGATCTGTGGGAAAGTCAAACCACCTAGCTTAAACAATGGTAGAGATACACTACAAAAGTCATTCAATCTACATGTTCTAGGGGTAAAATATGAATCTTTCTCAACAAAAAAATCAATTCTCCAAGCAAATCATGTCATCTTTCAAAGAGGAACCAAAAGTTATACAACAAAACTCAATAAATGTAAACTCATGAAAAACATTCTTCCAACCTGTAAAACTATAGCCAAAGAAACTTAACTCCTTTAAAAAAACAATACTCATCCTTACTCCATATATGTCAAAAAGGTAAGAAAGAAAATATAATTGTGCAGAATCCAAATCATAACCCATCATGGAACAGTAAAATCTCAATGCTTCAAAATTAAACTTTCACAAAAACTTTCCAAAGACAAAAACACACTTTAGACCATAACTAAGTAAAAACCTTCCAAAAACTGCCCTAGAACTCAAAACATGATTATACAATATAAAAGAACAACAATTTCTCAATAAAACTCACCAGGTGACTTGAGCAGATAAACACACAGGGCAGGCGCTCCCAAGAAAAGGGGAAGAGTGGATATATAATACACAGTCCTCTCTCTACTGCCGCTGGTCTTCTAAGTGAGGGGCTGTGGACTTACAGGGTGGCAGAGCACATGGGTCTTATCAAAGGGGCTATTGTTCTAAGGGGTCATGTTACTGGGGAAGAGGGAAAAGTTAATCAGGGGTACACACTCTATGAAAGGGTAGGGGACATCTAATAAAAAGGGGTGATTTATTCAGGGGAGCTACACCTATACCTAAACACTAAAAGCAATACAGTAAAAACTACAAGTTCAATTTGGCCCTGCCACATATGGTATAAATTTGTAACTTTCAATATATATCAACCCTCATCCCAAGTGGTGCATATTACTCTGACGTCACGATGACGTCATCGAGTGTCAAATTACAAGTGATTTTTGGTCAAAACATGACAATTTTACGTCAATTAGAACTCATGAACAAAATTAACGATTATGTTCATACATTGTGATCTGATGGACAATACCTTGATGAACATTTTTGATTTTGAAGTCAAAGTCGTTTGACCTTTCCTTTCGGGGCTACCGGAAGGTCAAAGTTAGGTTAATTCAAAATGAAGACATTGGCCTGAAATCAAAACAAAGCAACATTTCTTCCGAACGGTTTATGGTATGATCCTAAAACCTAGTGTGACCTTGTACCATGTTATGAAGACGTTATAAATTTTGGTATGTCATCATGACGTCATTAGGTATCAAATTACAAGCGATTTAAGGCCAAATTTTGACGAAATAGTTTGCACTATATCTTTTGAACTAAATAGATTATCGTGTTCTTTTTTCGTGAGATTTTAGACTATGCCATGAGAAACATTTTTTGTCTCCGGACAAAAACCGCTTCACCTTCACTTCTGGTGTAACCGGAAGTGCAATGAAAACCGAATAAAACGGAAGCATTTTACTACACACATATTATAAATCATGATAGTGTTAAGTGAGGAATGCCAGACACTAAAAAACATTGAGATGGTGTCATCTTTCGAAAGGGCGCCCCCTAGCGGCACAAAAAGCAGTGTTTGCTTGCTTTATTTGAAAAACATCCGTTCAAATTTTACCAAATCGCCCCTAGATATTCGTTGATCAACCATAAATAACTTGGCAAGATTTTAAATTCATGATGTCATCAGCTAGACCGGAAGTTACTTCTAAGAGAATTTGAAAACGACTGTATTTCAAATTCAATTTATATCATTTGATCTATGTTGTATATCGTCGTAGCCCAAATAACGATATCCATTACAATGTTCACTTTTTGCTTCCAAATACTGTGATGTCATCAAACTGGAAGTTTATGAATCCATTCACGTATACATACACGCAGGTGATATGACCCAGCCACATCAGTTTCCTCTTCACTGTGGCAAGGAGGGGCTCCTGGGAACCAGCAAGGCTTCTACAGTGGTGTGGACGAAGGCATTCGACTTGTGTTTGGTCCGTAGGAGAAGAGAAGATAGAGAAGATGGGAATGACAAGGGCTTTGTAGAGCTGTAGTTTGGTTGGGAAGCTGATGCATGCTCCTCCATAGTCCGGTGAGGGTTTAACATTGCTGACTTGCCAAGAGCCAGTCTGATCTTGACCTTAGGCTAGCTGCTGATATGCCATTTTAAGGCCTCTACCTCCTCGAGCTGCTGGCCATTTTTGGTGATGTTTGCGTGGATGTCATTTATGCTGTTAACCATCACCTTGCTCTTTCCAGAGTTCACTTCCATCCCATATGCTCCAGCCAGTTCAACAAGCCTGTCGTTCCACACTTTGAGTTTGTGGTTGCTGCCTCCGAGTAGGTCTAGGTCATCAGCGAAGCGGAGGTTGGAGGTGGTTCTACCACCTTCTGAGAAGGTGGAGTTAAATTAGTGGAGTGTCTCTCGCATGATTTTCTCAAGGGAGAGATCATCCTTGGCAGACACCCACAGTGGTAGGGAAGAAGTCTCCAATGTCCTTGCTCAAGATGACAGCACTGCTGGTGGAGTTGTACAAGGCGTGGTCTGGATTAGGCCACCTTCAATGTTGAACTTCTCAAGACTTGCCATAGGCCATCATGCCATACTCTATCAATGGCCTTCTTAAAGTCCTTAAAGTTGTGGAACAAATGTCGCTGATGCTAGGTGTTTCTCAGTTATGATTCTACAGTTGAAGATCCACTTGACTGTGCTTGGCCTGGTCTATAACCTGCCTGTTCTTCTGTCAGTAGTTCTTCTGCTTCCTTTTTGAGTCGGTTGAGGATGACTCTCAGCATGATTTTACTGGGATGTTTTATCAGGCTTATTATCGTCCTGTAGTTATGACACCTGCGGAGGTTGCCTTTCCAGGAAAGGGGTATGATGCAGTGTTGTAGTCGAGTACTCTTTCCCAGTACCAAGTACTGCCGAGTAATTAGGTTACCGAGTACGAGTATCAGTACTTGTACTTCCGAATACAGCCATACGGCAAATGGTTGACTGTGCGTAATTGGCCCAGGCCCAGTCAGACTGATACACAGACCCACTCACGGCTAGCTGTTAATTCTGTTTGTCCGGACGTGGACAGAGGAAAATCAGGAAACTTCAATTTCAAACTGAAAGTATCAATAACATAAGGCAGTGGTAAGTCAAGCTACTGGGTATACCATTTTTTTTTTGAGTACTGCTATTCGAGTATCAGTACTTTGATGATCGAGGACAATTCAACATGTCGAGTACGAGTACTTTGCTGCCCGAGTACGACTACCATCATTTCAAGTGCGTGTACTTTGACATTAGTGAGGTACCTTAGTGAAAAAAATTGTGACACGGTGGACAAAAGCACCATTTTTTTCACCAAAGCATCTACGTGTTATACCTTTTCAGAAAAAAAATTGTATGCAAAAAATTGGAAGATAGGAAGGGCAATATGTGACGTCATTATGACGTCATCAGCTAATTATTACATGAAATAAATATAAATTGATAATATCTTCAGAACTACAAACATCACAACAACAAATGTGGTATCAAACAGAACTCAACCCTTCAAACCCCAACAGCATGTATTGTTGGAATCTGTCTGGATGGGTACAGTACCCCTAAACTGACAGTCTTTTACATTGTGTTGGCACATGTGTGCACAGTTCCCCATATGGGTGTTGGAATTTGCCACGATGGGTATGGTTCCTAGTAAATCATGCTAGGGAGTTAGGGTTAAAAGGGACAACAAGATCCTTCATTTGAGTGGTATGTTGATGGGATGGAATGTACTAAAGGGCGTGTTTTGGGCCAAAAAGCAACTTTTTGGTCAAAAGACCTGATTTTTGGCTGAAATCATGGATTTTTGGTAGTCATTTTGTCACCTTGTTTAACATGCAAACCGTATATTAGCCTTGGTCAATGCTCTCGTCGTTATTCGTCCCGTACGCGGTCAATCGTCGGCATATATCCTCACATGCATGTAAAAATACAGCGCGAACAGCGACCTCACGCGGCCACTATTTTTATGCAAATCAGTTGGAGACGATCTCGAGCCTTGGTTCAATCGTCCATGTGAGGTTTTGGGGGTGGTGCTCATTATGTTAATAGCCTTAGCTGACCTTAAATGTCGTTTTCTTATTGGTCGATCGTTGCGTGGAAACTTGCATAGTGAAACGTGGCACCGTACATAATCCATACACGTACACATTGTGTGTCTCTGCACACGGCACCAATGCACAAAAACTGTGGTTCCTGTCACGTCCGCAAAAGGCGGAATAGCTGCAAATAATTTGATGACGTCCGGATTTTTACCAAGGTGTGATTGATACTCCACATATTAGCCCCGCCTACATTATCTGTATTCGCATACGAGGTCGTGCGCTGGAAAATCTAGCGCAAAGTAAAGAAAAACATAAGCTTTGGCTGACGATTGCACCAAGGCTCGAGATTTTATGCAACTGATTTGCATAAAAATAGTGGCCGCGTGAGGTCGCTGTTCGCGCTGTATTTTTACATACAAGCGCGTGAGGATATATGCCGACGATTGACCGCGTACGGGACGAATAACGACGAGAGCATTGACCAAGGCTAACCGTATGTGTTATTGTGAGAGTTTGTTTTTAAGTCGGAGAGAGAGGTTCAAATTCTATGCCAAAGAGTTTTTGTAATTGATTATTAGTATCTTAAATTTTAGACTTGTTCCAAAGATAACCGTCAAAATAACCGTAACATAAGTTACCGTGAGGATAGTTACCACCATTTTAGGGTACGGGCCAAAATGGGACATGGGATTTCCTGTCTAACCCTGATAATACATAGTTTAGTTACCAGCAAATAGATGGTATACATTACATTTATCAATGCATGTCCAGTATGAGGAGACTATTGAATCACGACCTCCAATAAATTATGCATGTTCTTTTTATATAACAAAAGTTTAAACTGTTGCGCAACACCCCACAAATTAAGCTTTCTACTTTGTATTCATTATGTTCAAACTGACTGTGTGACAGTGTTCACATAGTCATAGTCTTTTATGTTCAAACTGACTATGTGACAGTGGTCAAAGAAAAGTTTTACTGTTGAAACCAATGCATTTAGTTGTGAGACTAGGCCTTCACCACACTGCTGGATGTGATATGTCCAGATCGTCTCTAGCAACACCTCTGCATCAAGGTTAACACAAACACGAGTGCAAATACCTGACCAGTTCGAAAGAACATAGTGAACATAGTGGATGCGTCAAATATACGGAGACAAGTGGAGAAGCCAACACTCCCAATGAAGGTATAACGTTTCCGGAATCATCTGGCATGGTTCGATACACCTTATGTGTATACCAGCAGAATGACTGGCAACGTGAGAAGTTCCAAGTGGTCAATGTGCCAGGACCAGCTAACGCTGGGTTCCCTACGAGCCGCACATACCCTACGAGCCGCAATACTAATTACGGTTTGCATGTTATTACAAGGTGCCAGAATGACTACCCCAAATCCATGATTTAAGCACCAAAACAGTTTTTTTTACCAAAGAAAGGGCTTTTGGCCAAAAACAACACCCTTTACTAAATTCCATCCCACTGACATACCACTCAAATGAAAGATCTTGTCTACTTTAATTTGATACCACGTTTGTTGTGATGTTTGTAGTTCTGAAGATATTATCCATTTATATTTATTTCATGTAATAATTAGCTGATGACGTCATAATGATGTCATAAATTGCTGTTCCCATCATCTAATATTATGCTTCCTTTTTTTTTTCCAAAAAGGTATAACATGGAGATGCTTTGGTCTTTCATCATCTCACCCTTCCACATTTGAGAAGTTCTGCTGGTATGTTGTCTGGTCTGGGGGACTTGCCTCATTTCAGGCTTCACGTGTCCTCAACCACTTCTTCTTTAATCATAAGTAATGGATCCTGATCTCTCCTCCTTGGTTCTTTGTCTATATCAGGTTGGTGTTTGGCTTAATCTGGAAGTTGTTAAGCTTCTGGCAGTACTTTGTACACCTGTTTTGGACTGCTCTCAGGATTTTGCCTGCCTCGTTTTCTATACCGTAAGAATCTGAGAATTGTATTGTAATTAATCACCTTTTCCCTGAGCCAACCAGTCAATTGAAAATTCATCATCTTCATCTTAAGATTTTGTAAAAGTACAGATTTTGTAGATACATTTTGAAAACTGACTTTGTTTTTGTTTGTTGTCCATTTGAAGTATGATGCAAAGACACACAGTACAAACATGGCATTTTATCATTAAATTCCACTTTCTCCAGTTTTGAGAAACTGTTTAGGTGTTTTTTAAGCAAACTTTTCAGAATAAACCCATCAACCTCTATAAGAGGACTGATTTTGAAAAAAGTATGTGTGATAGAACAAATGGATTTTCTCTCATTGGTATTTTCTTTCAGTACTAGTAAGTGATTACTTTCCCACAAAAAAAGGAAAAAAGTGTAAGAGTATATGGTTGGAGTTTGGTACATTTCAATAATTTAAATTTGAAAACTTGTGACAAGGCTACGATCTTATATTCTTGTACTTTGTTGCCTTTGTATTTTTTTTTCAGCATAGATGTGACCAAGGCTACCTTTGTACTGTAACTTCAGAATGTCTCCTTTGATCACATTCATTGTGGCAATCTGCTGTTCAGTAGACTCTACAATAGCTATATGCAAATGGCAAGGAACAGTTGCTAGTCAAGACAGCGCAGCAAAGACGGCTTTTGCAAAAGACAGAGAGGCTTTGATAACACAGTGGAATTTTCCCAATGCATTTCAACCAATTGGGGATAAGGTGAGATTTAAGATGTATGAATGAAGCCCTGAAGACTTATTTGAAATGTTCAAACTTTTTCTTTACTTACAGTAGGCCTATAACTCTTTGTGGCTACCTGGCTCACAAAAATACTTCCAGAGAAGAGCAAGTCCAAGAATTCGTACACACTATGTCCCATAGGTACTAAAGGTTTAAACCTCTGAGATATTCATGAATTTTAGTGTTTTTTTTTTTATTCTACTGCAAGGAGAATACCCACCTCGAGATTAACCTCAAGATATATAATCCAGATGTTTGCTTCAAATAGCACGGACAACATAGCTCTCAAGCTTTTTGGCCATGACGTCACGATGACATCATCAAATATCAGATGACAAGCAACCAAAGATTTCTAGATTTAATCTTTGAAAATCAATATTACAAAATCAACTTTTTTTTTTAACAGGAATTGATAGAATAATCTAGGGTGTTTTGATATTACGTGCAGTATTATGTGACCCTTCCTTCCGGTTGAAACCAAAACTGCCTTGTAATTTGAAATCCTCTTTCTGATCGTGAACACTGCTGCGTTTGAAAAGCAAGCTGTACCCTTTTGTGGCAGAAAAAAACTGTTTGCCTTTTCGGTTCATACCTCTTATTCCAATTTATCTATTTACGACTGATGGTTTAAACTGAGTATTTTGCCATATGTACATGTATGTGTTGACAATATATAGGTTCATTGCAAGTGTTGTGGCCATCGAGAGTGGTCTTGGTCTCGAGACCAGTCTCAAGACCAGTATGAACGTGTTCTAGGTCTCGACCATGCATGGTCTCGGAATTTGGCAATCATACAGTATGCGTTCAAGGACCACAAAGAGTACGTTGATGCCAAAACGGGAGGCAAAAAACATGTCGCAGTGTGTATTTTTTGCCCCAAAAGAACCAGCATCAGCAATAAGGCAGGAACAATGTCTGCCTTCATCAAACATGTGCGGCGTTATCACCTGATGAAGTTGTTCTAACGTCAGGCCTAAGTCAGATTGTTCTTCCTTGCATGCTTTTGTCAATGACATGTTTGTTTCAATTTCAAAAGAAGTCTAACTACCGTAGGCTTAGTGTCCAAGCAACAAAAATCTGTTTCATGTTTGATTTTCAATATGAATTGGTTTACATGTATGTGCATTTCGGCCCAATTTAATTTAACCTGGTTGGCACTGGAAGCCAGCACTCTATAGATCACCCTCAATTATCCGCTTCCGTCCTAACCCCCCTCGGGCATCACGTTCCTCAGGGTACACACCTGTAAATCGATCCGCCAAGCTCATGAATAAAAGTTATACCCTCAAAATATTCTATATTAGAGAGTTCTGAGCGCCGTAAAATTGGGGAATTGAAGAGATATGGTAGTGAACCTCTAGCCCGGACTTGGGGCTTCCAATTCTGAGCATTTTGGATGCTATTGGGCTCGAAAGTGGCGCTATTTTGCCATGTTGTGGAGGGATCGTTTTTCAAGATGGCTACTTTTCCGCTTTGGGGAAAATAGGGGTCGTCTTCTTTGCGTGAAAATATCTCGAAAAGTCAATGGTCAACCCACCATAAATTGAAAAGAAAATGAAAGATGACACATTGATCATCATTTTTCTGTGCAGCTTGAATACCTGTGAGAGTTTTGAGTATTTTTAAAAGAATTTTGAAGTACGGGCATTTAGCACTAGTGTCTATGGGAGTTTATTTGCAGGTATGCACCCTATAAAGAATCACAAAGATGGCCGTTTCGCGCATGCGCTGTGCCGCGGCAGTGGTCTTTTCAGTGGGCGGAACCTACGGGGAGGGGGAAAAAGTGTTTTAAAGGTATCAACAAGGGTTTTTTGCCGTAACGGATGCTTCCAAATCATTAGGGAGCAGTAGGCTATCACCCGATTACAACAATTGATACTTGAAAAGGGGGGGGGGGGGCATTTTGAGCTTAAAAGTAGCTGGAACTCAATTTATTGTCGCTGGGGGCACTCTACAGCTTAGCAGGGGCAAAACAATCACTATTTTCGGGCTTAATATCTACCTCGGATAATATTTTTCTTTCATTTTTTTTTTCAAAATATTGACTTTGGAGATATTCTGCTTGTCCTGAATGTGATTTTGTGTTAAAATTTAAAAGTTGCCTGCTATTATAAAGAATCACAAAGATGGCCGTTTCGCGCATGCGCTGTGCCGCGGCAGTGGTCTTTTCAGTGGGCGGAACCTACGGGGAGGGGGAAAAAGTGTTTTAAAGGTATCAACAAGGGTTTTTTGCCGTAACGGATGCTTCCAAATCATTAGGGAGCAGTAGGCTATCACCCGATTACAACAATTGATACTTGAAAAGGGGGGGGGGGGCATTTTGAGCTTAAAAGTAGCTGGAACTCAATTTATTGTCGCTGGGGGCACTCTACAGCTTAGCAGGGGCAAAACAATCACTATTTTCGGGCTTAATATCTACCTCGGATAATATTTTTCTTTCATTTTTTTTTTTCAAAATATTGACTTTGGAGATATTCTGCTTGTCCTGAATGTGATTTTGTGTTAAAATTTAAAAGTTGCCTGCTATTATAGGGTACACACCTGTAAATCGATCCGCCAAGCTCATGAATAAAAGTTATACCCTCAAAATATTCTATATTAGAGAGTTCTGAGCGCCGTAAAATTGGGGAATTGAAGAGATATGGTAGTGAACCTCTAGCCCGGACTTGGGGCTTCCAATTCTGAGCATTTTGGATGCTATTGGGCTCGAAAGTGGCGCTATTTTGCCATGTTGTGGAGGGATCGTTTTTCAAGATGGCTACTTTTCCGCTTTGGGGAAAATAGGGGTCGTCTTCTTTGCGTGAAAATATCTCGAAAAGTCAATGGTCAACCCACCATAAATTGAAAAGAAAATGAAAGATGACACATTGATCATCATTTTTCTGTGCAGCTTGAATACCTGTGAGAGTTTTGAGTATTTTTAAAAGAATTTTGAAGTACGGGCATTTAGCACTAGTGTCTATGGGAGTTTATTTGCAGGTATGCACCCCTCAAAATCTGAAAGAAAAAAATTGGCAAGGGGTGAACGGGGTATGTGGATTTTCCCTTTTGTTATCATGATGCTGCCAGCGCAGTTCTCGCGAAGTCGGCCGATGCTAGTAAGGCCAATTACACATTGGCGGTCGAAGGGGGTCAATTAGTTGAAAAAAACCTGGTCCCAACGAAAAGGAGTAGACTCTTTCGATGTGGCAATCTTGCTATCACACCTTCATTACCATTTTCTCACCAAACATCCCACACGTTGGGCGGAGTTACTCAATTATGCAGAGATAATTCGCACTGCCTCCTTTCAATTTCCAGGCCTTGGTTGGCGTGCTTATGACGAGCAGTTTAGACTAAGACAAGAGTCAAATCCATCTCGGTCTTGGGGGGCAATAGATTTCAGCTGTGGCTCACGGTGGCTGCATCAGGTGTCACCTCCTAGACCGCTGGCCAAGTTGAACAAACCTTTTTCTATTCAAAATCAGACTCAACATATGAACAACTTGCACGCATCTGCTCACGGAGCTCCGTGACCCTACGCTCAGCGCAGGAAAATGACACGAAAACAGAGCCCTCATTGCAAACTTTCGTCAGTAACAAACAAGTAGGTCAATGTTTCTCACCAACTCGCTACACATTTCAAAGTTCAGAGTATTACCTGTAGTTTGGTTGTTTTTAACAAATATATGATGCACAGGGGAAAAGGTTTGTTTTTTTTCACTCCAAAACCGGGTGTAAAACCTCAAAATCGACAAAGTCAATGGAGGTCAACACAATTTTTGATTGTTTGCCGGTGGGTTGTCTCACTAAATTGAACGGCACAGTCGTTCTCTTTGTCCTACATATTCGACTCGCACTTCTGAATAAACTACATGTAAGAATTTATATAAGAATCATTTTGATTGGAAGAGTAGACGAAGGGGCTTTTTTGCTTCCAATCATGGAACGTCTCTCTTCTAGACCATGCCCCGATTAGAATATGCATGTATATATGCAACGTGTCTCTATAGTCAGGCTCCATAATAACCACGCGTGTATTGATAGGTTGAACAGGAAACAAGATCACACACTTTGTGAAAAGATGGGTAAATTTTGCTGAAATAGCTCAAGAAGTTCAGGAGAGTGTGGACCTACATGTAGCTGGTGGTGTGCCCAGGCAGCTGGTAAGCTCATTGTCAAAGTTGGTATTTAAATTTAACCCTTACTAGATTCTGGAAAAGTTTATGGTTATGGTTATGGTTTATTTTTTTTCACATCATAGCAGAAACAACATAACAAACAGGAAACTATATAAAGAATGACAAACAATGATACGAGGGATCCAGGTAAAAAGCATATGCTTGTACAAGACCTGGAACCCGTAATTACAAATAAAGCTAATAAATTAATATACAATAGGCTGAATTCTATCAGGTAAATACACTTATACTAATAAAAATTTAAAAGAATTAAAATTAACAGCAAAAATATTCACATTCTTATGAATATACATAGGCCTACACAGTACTTTTTACGTCCATACATTACAAGAATTAAATCAATTAATTAATTACAAAACACGTAAGGGAGGAAGGGGCAAAGAAGCAAAAAGCAGCCAAGGAATTATAAAACAATACTATATTTTTCAACACTCTGTGAGATGACATGAATGTACAATTTAATGGGATACTAATTATCAGTATATTTTGTCAGTAGCAACTTTTTCATGTAGTTTTTGAAGTTCTTCATTGATCTAAAGATAGGCATTGGTTTGAGGTGGTTCCACATCCACAATAAAGGTCCTTGGTTTGTGAGAGTCGATAAGTAAAGAGATGTTCTAGTTTTATGGAGATGAAAGTTTGAGGCTGACCTTGTATTATGAGAATGGATATCCGAGTTTTTGTTAAATAGCGAATGTACAGTTTTGGGTAATTTCTTTGTTTCGAATTTATACATTAATACCCCAAGATGGTTTTTATACAAGTCAAAAACAGATAAGGTTTTGTATTTACTAAACA